CTCACAGCAAAACACAAAGTTTAACAGCACATAACTCAACATATGACACTTGCAAAAGTTCCCACATATTCCTTTAAGGTTTCATATTCAAAAATGTTCCCATGTAAATGTAAAACTTTGCTTTTATTTTCATTGGAGACTTGGAAGTTTTGCTGTATGGATCGGAGATTGAAAAACAAATGAGTGCGCAGAGAAACGATACCTCTGAATTTTACCCAGTCACCAGCTTCATCCCAAGAGCTGTGTCCATTTCAAACGCCTGTTTCTGTTTATTTCTCTTTCTATTGAAGAACTTATTACATGGATAATAGTCATCATGCATGTTTGTTGCTCCATTTGTTTTATACTACAACCTGTTTCCATTTCCAGTTGGAGCCAGTCATCTATTATGAAAGATGATGGATTATGTCCTCTAATCAACCCAAATAACTAAGACCAACCTCATGCTGGTGGATAACAATTACTAGAATTACAAACCCAGATCTACTTATTAGATATCTCTAACATGGACATAAAACTCAACCAATAAGATCAGATAAGTTAAAATTGAAACTGCTAATAAATGCTACATTTATTAACTGAACAGTGACAATTATAGAGGAATTAAAGCTCAGTTTTATTTTTGTATTTTTTAAAATGACAAACATCAGGCAATATGACCAACCCATATATTCACTTCTAGTTCTATCAGCATTTTACCAATCCTACCATTTCCTCTTTATTCTTGTTTTTTTCATTATGTATATTTAAAAAAACTTTTAAATTAACAACATTTTAACAACAATAAACTTTTAGGGGTTTTACATTTTAACATTGTATCAATATATTGCTGTATTTATTGTGACAACAATAAAATTAATGATAAAAAAAACTATTCTATGCAGGTGAAAATCATTTTTAAATTGACCTCTTCAGGACAGCAGGTACATAAAGAACCTCCATTTGCTCACAGTAAATAATTTTACTGATGATGAAAACTGGAGAAAATACAAACAAAAAACATAATTCTGATAAATGCTAATTGTTTTGGGGTTTTCAGGCACAATTAATTTAAATCTGTCGATGATGACGTAAGTTTCCATGTTTTTTTTTGGAACTTAAAAGTGAGTAATGTTGCACTGTGTTGTGTGATTTTTGTCTCTGTTATGTCAAAATGTGCTTTATTAATAAACTTGACAAACTTGCTCACTACATTCTATAGTTGGAAAAATACATCACAGCTTTCAAAAACATTAACGCATGCATGCACGCATACACACACGCATACATGCATGCATACACTCGCATATATGCATGCATACACTCGCATATATGCATGCATACACTCACACATATGTATATATATATATATATATATATATACAGTGGGGCAAAAAAGTATTTAGTCAGCCACCAATAGTGCAAGTTCTCAAATAAATTCTTTAAAAATCAGACAATGTGAGTTTCTGGATTTTTTTTTCTCATTTTGTCTCTCATAGTTGAGGTATATCTATGATGAAAATTACCGGCCTATCTCATCTTTTTGAGTGGGAGAACTTGCACTATTGGTGGCTGACTAAATACTTTTTTGCCCCACTGTATATATACCTGCAGGGTGTAAGAGTCTGGCAGGGAAAGCTTACATGGAGCGCCATAACCAAGTAGATGGAATAGTACACAGGAATTTGTGCAGAATATGGGCTGGAAACCCCAAAATTAAAGTGGGAAACAGGTTGAGAAAGACTGAGCCAAGATCCTGTGGGACTTCCACATACAGAAGGACTGAATGGTAATGGCAATCCAACCGGACATTGTGGTGATGGACAATAAGCCTAGGAAAGCCGTTCTAGACATAGCAATACCAAGTGACTGCAGCATCAGGAAAAATAATAATAATAATACATTTTATTTAACAGCGCCTTTCTTGACACTCAAGGTCACTTTACAAATAATACAAAATAAATAAATAAAAAGAGATGAAAATACAAGGGGCCAAGAACTGAGAACATGAAAAACTAGAGAAATACCAGGGGCTCAGAGAAGAGCTGGAGAAATCTGGAAGGTCAAGGCATCAATGGTACCGGTGGTCATTGGGGCCCTTGGGGCAGTGACCCCTAAACTGGAGGAGTGGTTAAAGCAGATCCCTGGAAATATATCAGACATCTCGGTCCAGAAGAGTTCAGTTCTAGGAACAGAAGAGATACTGAGCAGAACCCTCAAGCTCCCAGGCCTCTGGTAGAGGAACCGAGATTGGAGGAAACAAGGGGGGAAGGCCGCCTGCGATAGGTGAGATCTATATATACAGTAGATAGATATATAGAGATATGTATATTTCCTTTCTATGTTTCAAAGTGAACTTTGGCTATGAACTAAAATATTAAAATGCACATTCATAAAGCAGCTTTTATTCTTTCTTTAAGATGTTATAAAAGAGACAGGTACTATAAGATGTTTTTTTCTTCTGTTCCGGTTTTGTTCATGGAAAAAAGAAAAATGCTTTTTTTTGTAATCGTTTTTGTATTAAAAAAAAGAAGAAAAATAAATGGAAAAAAATAGACAATCATGACATGGACGAAATAAATAAATTACTTAATTAAATCAATATTTTGGTCCATTGTGATAATTGGATACAAAAACTGTAGGCTACAGAAAAATCCCTAATTTCATTTGTCCGGGGAATTTTAATGTCCCAACAGACTATTTAAAGGGTTTGGGCTCGGTCCAAACAAACACAAAGATACCACCATTATTTCACCATGTATCCGTGCTTTTGGCATTATGGGCGGCTGCCAAACTTTATCAGCATCTTAATAGAGAATCAATCTCCTGTTAATTACAATGACTTTTTCCAGGTAGATGGGCAGTGACAAACACAGAGAAACAATATGACCAACCCAAAAACTGAGTTAAATAACCAAAAATAAAGATTTCACTTTATTCTAATTATTAAAAAAAAAACACGTATCTATTTAAAACACATCTAGTAAAAATTTATAAAAAAATAATTTTTTTTCTTGCCGAATTATTTGAGCGTACTCTATATTTAATCCAAATAAGAAGCTCAACTGAAAGCTATACTAAATTTCAATCTGTTTTACTTTACAACAAGGATCTTTGCATTAATGCATATGAAGTTTTATCAATACTGCTAACTTTTTTGGATTTACTGCATGCCCAGTCTAAATTTTTGTAACACATTCAGAGAATAAAGACAAAAATACTGCATAATATCCATCCGTCCAAGACCAATTTTTTCTGAATTTGAAGCCTGTTTTGATGAATCCAAAGATGTTCTCATACCAGAGGGGCACTGCACTGTATACAGTTCCTTAAATGATTCCTGGATCTATTTTTGGGGTCTTCTCCCGGTAGCACATGATTGGAACATTTTTAAAGAAAGGCATAAAAAAAATCCACCAAAAGACTTCTTTGATGATGAGAAGCAGTGCGTCCATTCAGAGATCTCCCCGGGTGACCGAGCTCCTTAGAGCTCTGTCTTTAGCTTGTTCTTTAAATTATTTAAGTCAATGATCTATGGACTAATAAAACAAGAATATTAGATTATAACTAAGCTCTTTCTTCACAGTGACAGACAAAAAAAAAGCAACAAAAACATTGCAACACAGATCTGGATTGAGCCGTTCAATGACACTGTTGAAAACCTTACTTTAATTTAAAAAAAATATAAAAAATTCAAGACAATATTAAAACATTCAACAAGGAAATCTGTAAACAACTCCATTTGGGGAGAGTTAATGTTATCATCCTGCTTTTAAAGACCGTAGGAAGCAGTTTGCTAAATGCTGGTATGATCCCAAATAAGGGATTAACATTCCACCACTGGGCTTTAAAAATAACATGAATGCAATTGAAGTTACTAAATAAAGGAAGGGATTTCACATGAGTAAAAACAACAATGCAATCTCAGAATGAAGCATGGGGGCAGCATGGATGCACTCTTTATATGAGAAAAACAAATGAGATTAGTGATCACAGATTAATGCTGCTCTGCATGAACCTTGATCCTCACTGGAATTTCTATAAAATATATATTTTTATCCCTTATCAGCAATGACATGATAAAAAAATGTGTCATTAAAACCACAAAGTAAAGTAGGTCAAAGTAAAGTTACACAAATTAAATATAACTGGGTTTAGGTTTGCTAATCAGTGACTAACTGCTGCCCTCTAGTGGCAATACAGAGAAACAACATCTTAGAACCCAAAACTTCATAAACAAATTTAACATAATTTCATTACTTTATAGAAAAGTTGGACAAAAGATAGATATACAAATAATCTTTATTATAAGGAGGGTTTATTTCTTAAAGCAACTATAATCTGCATTACAAAATACAGACTACAGACCATTAGAAAAACAAACAAAAAAACATTAGAATGATAAGATTTGCCTCCAACATACTAACAAGATTACATTTCTCAATATCTTAAGAGAACCCGAACATTAAAAAAAACAAAGGCCTCCACTGTATCGGGATACAAGTTTAACAAAAAGATGTTTTGCATCTTAAAAAGTGTTACACGTGTATGAAAAGAAATATAACCTGAGCAAGAATCAAAGAAAAATGAGTTAAAGTGAAGGATGATGACAAACTGTGTGGTACTGATGAGAATCCTAGTGATTCCCAACAGAGCAACAATAGGAAAAAGGAACAGACTTGTTTACAACAAAAAAAACATCTTGAGATCCAAACGTTACGAAGAAAATAAAAGGAATAGAACAATATTGTAGAAATACCCCATCATTTGATGTAGTTTAGGACTACAGGAAAGATGAAGAAACTAATAGATCATCCAAATAGCACTGTGAATAGTTAAGGTTTTGTTAAGAGGTTATGAGCTGTCAATATCTCACTTGCAAAAGATAAAAACATCTAGATTATTTACTTTTTAAGAACAGATTAGATTTAGAATAGAAAATAAATATAAAAATAAGGTTTTAAATCCTGTTTAGAGCTACATAGGATCCCACATGTAAGCTGATGTGAAAGCGGTTATGTTCCATAAAAGCTTGATAGATGGATAAAAGGACAATAATGTCTTTCAGCATCACCCCTCCTCTAATGGTTGGGGTGTTTATATAGAGGAGACAGCGCCCTCTAGAGTGAGAATATTGCAGGATTTATTACAAACAGCTGTAAAGGTCATAGGGCGACTGGGGCCACATAATGGCGCCAGAAGTATGCTTCCTGAGGTCTGTTGCTCTTAGGTCTTGTGAACAGTTCTTCTGGGACCATCTGTCTTTTTTTGTCTGAGTCAGCTGCCTGAGACGCTTTGGTCTGATGTCGTCTGGATGCTAAAGCGTAAGCTGTGGTAGAAGTTGACCAATTTTGGGCTGCTCTGTTGCAAGAACCAATGGCAGCACTTTAAGATCATACAATCCGTGTAGCTAATAGTCTTTACCGATTATTATCATATAATTAATATTTGTTTAATTGTTGTTTTTTGTCTGACTGCTTTTTGTTTGTTTTACTTTATTTGGTGTCCAAATATAAAATGTTTTTTTTTGTCTTTTGGGTCAAGAAAACAAATGTATTGGTTGATTGGTTGGCTCTGCTTTTGCACATTTATGCAGCTAGTGATGATGACATTTCAGTTTAGACTCATACACATCAGGTTTAAAAATCAGTTTTCCCTTGTGCAAAATCTACCAACCAGTCAGATTGGATTTTATTCATTTTGGTAAATTTATAGTATCACAGTGGCTGTTGGGTGATTGATTTTACAATATAGTAAATTTCTGTAATGAATGTTGAAAGTCTCATTTTCAGAGGGTTGTAAATTTTTCATTGCATATTTGAAAAGTACGATTCCAGTTAGAGGGCTGCTCAGTGACACCGTGGGTTCGATTCCCGGCCCAGGGTCTTTCTGCATGGCAGAGATGGGAAATGTGGAGTCAACAAGTCCTCTCCATGTCATGCATTTGTTCTACCCAGCCACTGAAGCAGGTGTGTCCAATCTTCACCGTGAATCAACCTGTGCAGATTGGACTCACCTGGTTAATTGGCTGGGTAGATTAAATACTGTACATGACATGGAGATGACTTGTTGACTCCACATTTCCCATCTCTGCTGCATGGGGTTTGCATTTTTCCCCTGTGCATGCATTGGTTCTCTCTGGGTACTCCAGCTTCCTCCCACAGTAAAAAAACATGACTGTTAGGTTAACTGGCTTCTCTAATTGTCCTTAGGTGTGAGGGTGTGTCTGTGCATGGTTGTGTGTCGCTGAGGGTCTCAGGCACCGGCCCCTCACGACCCTGACAAGGACTAAGGGGAAGAAAATGGATAGAAGATGGATGGAATATGCTGAAGCTGAGACTTACACTGTTCCCCGATAAGAGAATCAAGACCCTAAACTGTATTGTAAATAGTTTTTTTGTTTTTTTTCCCCCATTAGAGCCTCTCTGCTCCGCTTGCTTTGACTCTACATGGTCTGGGTGTTAAGAACCTCCTCTGTGTGGTTGTGGTCATCATAGCATGGTGACCCACGAAGTAATCTGACTCGATTTGTGTGGGATACAAAATACTAAACCTGCAGCTTAGATTGTGGCTTTATGTAGGACTCAATGTAAAAACAGAGAGCCAGAAAGACTGCAAGTGGTGAGACAAGGAGTGTGAGGGAGGCCATAGAGTGGTCTATAGCTAAAGATGAAAGAGTTACAGAACTTAAAAATAAGATTTCAATGGAGTGTAAAAGCTACAATATATAGAAAAGACACCATTTGCTGTACGGTATTGTGGAAAGAACACTTTACTTTTTAAAAGCTTCTTACATCTATGTGAAGTAACACTGAAGGCATTGAACTTGGAGCGCTTTACTCACAGTAACCACTTCCACACCAAAGAGTGAGCTCTAGGCGCCAAGAACGGAGCCTTAACTAGAACATGTTGGATTACAACCAGTCAAATATGATTAAACTGTGAATTATACACTATCACCATTAGCTCTGTTAACTAAAGCAGGTGAAATATTTATTACTCACAACCTCTTAACAAAAAAAAAAATATATATATATATAGTTCCTGATCTTTCCATTTTAGGGTCTATAAAGCAGAGATACTGCGGTGATCAAATAACTGGATGAAATATTTAACTTAAAGAAAATTTTTACAAAGAAAATAACCTGACAGCAAAAGCTTGATGAGTGTAATAATGTTTTTAAATAACCGCTAAGGCATCAGTTTCTTCTAAAGTCCAAATAACATGGTTAATATTTCCTACAGCAGTCCATTAATAGCAGAGAAATGTATTAGAAAAGCTTACAGGAGACACCAGGAGTTTTATGTTACCTGTCTAATGACAGGCTTCCCTGTTTAGGTTGGTGGTCTATCTCTGGTGTGGGGGATTCCCCACGTAGCACACATGTACAGTCTTACTTTAGTTATGTCATCTCCTCTCAGCCACGGCCTTATTTGTGCACACAACACAGATGCAATGATTAAAACTGTGACCTGCTCATTTTACTGTCCGTCTTCCCTCATTTAGCTGCTCCTCTCTGTTCCGGTGTTCCTGCAGCTTCGTTGACAGATGCATGCAGCTCGGCCTGCTTAGACTCCTTCACCTGGAAGTTCATTTAGACAAGCAGATCAGTGAAGTATACTTAATATCAAATGGGATCAAAATGTATACCGTATGAGTTATATTTCATAGGGAATGGGTTTGTGAGAGAATTAACGGCACCGTTCCTACCAGTGGGAGCTGCTGTGTGCGTCCTGCCGCTCTTGATTTGCAGGTAGATGGTGTACGTGTCATAAGCAAACAGAATACCGGCAATCAAGCCAAACACCTGGGAAATATAACAAAATACAAACTTCAATAATACCAAAACATACAGAAAAATCCCTAACTTGAACTTCCAAAAGCATATAAAGACAATTACAAGGTCGGCTTTCTATCACCTGAAGAACATTTCCAGGATTAAAGGACTAATGTCTTTAACCTGACTCCGCCAGATGGATTTGCTCCACATATCCATCTGGAAACCTTCCGTTGAAGTAATTTTGGGAAGGGGTGAAAATACTGGTTAGCTGATTGGGTATGTTGGTGATAGACGGGCCAAATAAACCAATCAGATCAACGAAGCATATGACGTACTAACAGAGCGACGACGAAGAGGAGCCAATTGATAGATCAAACTCTTGCCGAAACCAGTCGGGAGAAGAGCAAAAACATCTTTTCCTCTGAGAAAAGCCTCCAGAGCAGTGTTTTGCTCTTCTTTCAGTGAAGAAATACTCTGTAATTCTGATAAAACTTGCTCGATAGCCACGCTAACGCTAGTTTCATCGGCTGAAGCCGCCATGTTCTTTAGACCTCAACCCGCCTCAAAGCCAACGCTAAATGGACGATCGTTTTGGTCAACTGCTCCAAATTTTCTTTAACGGAAAGTAGCCAGGCTGATCTGCGAGTGAAACCTTGAAAGCTTGCGTTTATTTTTAGTCTAATTGATTACTGCAACGATGTTTTCACAGGTCTTCCTAAAAAATGGATCAGACAGCTGCAGCTGATCCAGAACGCTGCTGCCCGTGTCCTCACTAAGACTAAGAAAGTAGAGCACATCACCCCGGTTCTAAAGTCCTTACACTGGCTCCCTGTATCTCAGAGAATAGACTTTAAAATACTTCTGTTAGTCTATAAATCTCTGAATGGCTTAGCACCTAAATACATCACAGACTTGCTATCACTTTTTTTTTTTGTTTCTGCATTTTTTATTCTATTTTTTTATTTTTTCCTACTTGCTTTGATTCTGTTTTATCTTCCTGTATTTTAATCATGTAAAGCACTTTGCATTGTCTTTGTACTGAATTGTGCTATACAAATAAATTTGCCTTGCCTTGCCTTGCCTAAAAACAACAGATACTTTCACAAATACTTCAGAAGAAAAACTGTTTTTGTTCCCCACTATTATTGATATAATAATCTATTTTTGTTAATGCAAGCATGAGATGTTTCCGGTTTGCTGTAATTTTCCTTCCGAGAAAAGTGATGTAACAGTCAGGTTTGGATGCAGACAAATACCCTTTCAGCTTCTCCCACTTTTTATGGCACTAAGACCAGGCAGGGTTGTGTGATGCGGACAACAGAACACTGCCATAGGCAGCTACGCTCTACCCCTTCTATTCATTCTAGCTAATCTGAAACATTCAATTCCATTTGGAGAGCGAGATCATCTGTGGTAGTAGTAGTAGTAGACATCTTCCAGGCATGTGAGGAAAACTAGAGGCAGTTCAGCGGACAGGAAGAATGAATGGTAGCTGACGCGCGCAGATGACGTCATACACACTCCACTTTGTTTAAAAAAAATCTAAATATAAAAAATATAACCGCAGATGTCTGGGGCACAGTGATTCGCCTACATGTCATGAATGCTAGCGTACCATAAATGATCAACTATGAACAGTTTAGTGTGTGCCTTCAACTCGTTGCCCATAGGAAGACGTTACTTGGATATAACCCAACATAATATCTTCAGAAGGTCTCCAAATGACACAAAACTCATATGGGTGAGTAGAACATGATGTAATAACGTAAAATCAAGGGCTCAATGTAAAAAAAAAAAACTGGCATTTCCCTTTAACAGCCCATTCATTATTAGTGTGATCGTTCTGACTGTAACCTTTCAGTCTGATACTTTCAACCAATGTTTAAAACTGAAGAAGCTTACAGTCAAGCTGCCGTCTTCTTTAGAACATGAAAATATGAGTGAATGCACAATGAAGTCAGTGTTCTGTAGTCAGCATCACACAACCCTGCCTGGTCTTAGTGCCATGAAAAGTGGGAGAAGCTGAAAGGGTATTTGTCTGCATCCAAACCTGACTGTTACATCACTTTTCTCAGAAGGAAAATTACAGCAAACCGGAAAGATCTCATGCTTGCATTAACAAAAATAGATGATTATATCAATAACAGTGGGAACGGAATATCTTCAAAACAGCTCCAAATGACAGAAAACTCATATACGTGAGTAGAACATGATGAAAAAGACATGCACTCAAAATTTCCCATAATGCACCTTGAAAAGTGATGATAATCTATGGTCACTAGACAAACAGATATATCCTAGATTGCTTTGTGAGAGCTCTGCTTGCAAAGCATCATGGGGTTTGCTGTGGCGGCCACAAATTACAAAGGTGGAGCAACAGGGAGGGAAAAGTAGTGATTCTCTGTCCGAACGGTCAGGTAACTGAGTTCACTATAAAGTCCACTATATAGTCCCCATTCTACTGTATATAGTGATGGAGAAATTAAGGGGTTAGGACGGACGTTCAGACACAGACTTCCTGTCTACTGGTGGTTTCTGTTGTCTTTTAAAATAACCGGGAGGCTCCTCTCCTGTGGAACCAGCTAAACTAAAGCTTTCTGTTTATCCTGAGCTGTCTGCAAAGTTATTCTGCTACTGACTTGAGTGGAGGTACATCTAAAAAGCTTATTATTCTTTCTTCTACTAACCTTTTTTTTTAATCTTTATTATAAGCAATTTACCCAATTTGGTTTTAAAAACAGATGCTGCAACGTTTTACTTTGTCACTTTCCTGAGAACAGCCACTGAAAGACACTAGCAAAGTTTTCACTTGGTTACCGATCATATGAATCTACCGTAAATTCTCTAATATTGGCCTGTATTCCATTAGCGGCCGGGACTCTAACATTGGCCGGTCTCGCTGTTAGAGGAGGTAAATAATGGCCGGTCTCTAATACAGGCCGGGGCTATAAACGTTTTTTCTGGGCATACCTCAACATTATACTTGTGGTAGTAACATACAAGTACCACAGCCCTGCGCTGCTGGACGACAGGCCCTGACTGCTGCCCGTCTGCGCGAGGAAGAGAACAGACACGCAGCAGAACATGAGGAGCGCGAGTGATGAGGAGATTAAAGGGAGAGATGAAGAGGAGGAGGAAACTGGGGAGGAGGATTAAACAGAATTGGAGGATTTTTTTTTTCTTTTTTACTTCAAACCAAGCGAGACATGGCAACTGTACTTTTTCAATTAATGAACCTAGTGTTTTATAGGTTCAAATAGACACAAAATCTCATTTTTATTCATTCCACTAGTAGTCTGTTTTGCTCAAATAGCAATAGAGGCCTGTCTCTAATTCTGGCCTCTTTCCAGCAAAGGCCTGGACCGCGATGTACTTGAGTGAAATAAAGGCCCGGGCCTATATTAGAGGATTTACGGTACTAACCCAACCATATTCTACTTACTTCTTTTTCTTTTATAGATTTCATTCTATTATTTTCAAAACCAGCAGGTGGCTAAAGTAGAGATGCTCATAGTAAGATGGTTACTGCTGGAAATCTTCCTCCCGTTAAAAAGCAACTGTTACTTCCCACTGTCGCCACATGCAAAGCCAGAACAAGCTGTGTGTCATTGAATCCAACATGTGTATATGAATGAACTCGATGGTTATAAACGGAATTTATAGAAAATATATGTATTTTATAACTTGAAATATTTCACAACTTTAATTTTCTAAAAATTCACTGAGATACATCTTAGTGAAATGGTGTTAAAAAAGAATAAAAATGGTTTTAGTCGTTTTTTAATCAGCTTTCAAAGTTTTTATTTTATATCAGCGACATAATTTCCTCCTACCTAACTAAATAAACTCACCCAGATACCATCTAACAATAAACATTTGTAGGTAAGCTGTGCCGTTGCACCACTGACTGGATGCAGATGGTTATCGCAGTGTGTTGTAACCCAGCCAGGGATAGACCCAACGCTAGAAAGGATGTGGTTAAAGAAAAGGGAACCTTGCTTTAATCTGAAATCCAGGCTTCAGCCTCTCAACCATGTGCATTAAGGTAGAAAGCTTTACTACTGTGCTGCTAATTTTACACCATTTTTTAACATTTTATTCAGCTGCTGCTGCAAGGTCTTGCCCTCTGTGTTAAAGGTTTCAGGTTTCTTTTCTGAAGGAATGTAAAAAGAAAATCTAAGTTGCCTGGGGAAGCACCTGCACCAAGGTTTCATCTTAAGACTTTTTTCTCCCCTCCTTGTGTTTTTTCACACCTTCCTTGCACCGTGCTCTGAAAGGTGCCCTAACTTTCCTTTTTTATAATCTAATGAAAAATCTTTATTTCAAAATTAACCGTTTTCTCAGAACCGGAATAGGAAGAAACGTGTGATGCTATCTGGTTCTCAGAATGACGGAATAGTGACAAAGTTTGTGCTCGTATCCAAGTAAACAGAAGTATTTTTCTGCACGTATCCTAGAAACAGGTCGACGGGTAAACGGTAGCTAAATAACATAATCATGATGCAGAGTTTCAGAACAGACTAGAGAGATCAACTGAGTCAAGAAGTTGGAACTGACCCCGCCTGCGATGAGCGCGCCATCGCCGGCTCCTCTGATGACACAGATGAGCGAGGTGATGATGTAACATAGAGTGCCAGTTAAAGCGCGGATAAGATCCTGCAGAAAAGGAGGGAAAACAGATGGTAACGTATCTGACAAGTGGCCACAGATTTGCGTTGGTGTTACTTGAACTGGCTGAGGACTCACACTCCACACCCAGCTGATGACAGAAAGCTGCTTGTCCAAATCCATCATGAAGACGCAGAAGAAGACTATAGCAAAGACCATCTCACAGATGGCAACAGCAGTGTAGCCTCCATACCAGGATGAAGCGTAGCAGATCAGGATTATTAAACTCAGGACCTGTGGAAGATATGAGACAAGATAAAAAATTAGGGCTGCAACTAATTATTATTTTACATATCAATTAATCTGTTGATTATTTTCTGATTAATCTAGTAATAATCAGATAGACAAAGGTTCCTTTTTACAAAATAAAACCAGGTGAAACTAAAACTTTTCCACTTGAAGAGTTCCAGATAGAGCACATTGACCATTTTTTTTTTTATCTTAAATGAAAAATGTTTATATAATTTATACAATTTTGACATAATTACTGCTCTAAGTAGGTCACTCCTCAGCTACAGGCATGTTTTACAGTCTCTATACTGCAGTTAATGATTAATCGATTACTGAATTAGTTGAGGATTATTTCAATAATCGATTAATCACAATTAACCCTTTAAAGCCTGATCCAAGAATAAAACAAAACAGAAAATAACTTTTTTTTTTGGTTTGAATTCCTTATTTGCCCTTTTAACAAAATATGTAAAAAGAAAAAACAGAAATACATTTTTGATATTGATAATCTATTACTATGCGATAAGTCAAGATTATTTTTTGTCTAGTCTTCTACTGGCTGTTATCAGGTATATCTGATTGTGTACAATAGGATTTTGAGCAAAGTTTTTACCATTAAATTATGCAAAAGGTGTCAGACGCAAAATATTTCAGAAACCGTATTTATCAAATACGATACATTTGGCATTACAGGGTTATTCCAATGAATTGTTTCGATAATAAAAAATAAAGCTGCCCCTCAATGTAGAAAGAATCATGTAGAATTCAACCTTCTCTGAGCTTCTGCAACAAGCAGTTAGTTCAGATTTACAGCCCTCAGAAATGTTCCACATGTGGAAAAAAAAAAATGCATTCTTTTCAGAGCAGCGAAATGCTGCCGGTGCACAGAAATCATAACGAGCTGCAGGCTGCATGCAGCCCATTATAGGGATGTTTTTTAAAACGTGATGCTCTCACCCTGTGTGGGCAAACACATCCTCGCATCCAAAACAAGATTCAGAGACAATCGATAGCATAACAATGGAATGGTGACCTGTAATCCGTGCAATATGAAGCCTTTTGTACTTTGTTTTCTTTACTTTAAAAAAAACGTTCTAATCAGGGACCTCTATTTCATTTCCAATGTGATGCTGATGTCATATAAGCATGAATCCTACACACTTTTATTACTGAAATTTTAATGTGGAACATTTAAAAAGGGTTGATTAAGTGATATTTGTTAAACAGAGAATAGTGATGAGAACAATTGAGCCATGTATTATTAAACAATGGATTAAATAAACTCCAGACGGAAGTGGAAAGACGCAGTTTTTTTATATCAGCATAACGAAAGCAACGATTTTCCGAGATTTGCTTTTTGGCTGATATAAACATTAGATTAAGACATCCCTTCATTATAACCCTTGTGCTGAGATAATGTTTACTTTAGGGCTGAAACTATTGATTATTTTCCTACTCATTTATAATATATCAACCGATTAATAATCACACAAGGTAAAATATTGTAGCATCTGTTTTTAAAACCTTAGCGAGATTAGGTAAATTTCTTATAAAAAAAAAAAAAAAAAAAAGAGGTTAGTAGAAAAAATAATAATAAGCTTTTAGATGGACCTCCACCCAAGTCCAAATACATATATTTTCTATAAATTCCATTTAGATCCATCAAGTTTATTCATATACACATGTTGGATTCAATGACACACAGCTTGTTCTGGCTTTGCATGTAGCGACAGTGGGAAGTAACAGTTGCTTTTTAACGGGAGGAAAACTTCCAGCAGGAACCATCTTACTATGAGCATCTCTACTTTAGCCACCTGCTGGTTTTGGAAATAAAAAAATGAAATCTATAAAAGAAAAAGATGTAACTAGAATATGGTTGGGTCAGTAGATTCATATGATCGGTAACAGAGTGAAAACTGCTAGTGTCTTTCAGTGCCTGTTTTCAGGAAAGTGATACGGTAAAACATTGTAGCATCTGTTTTTAAAACTAGAGCAAAATTAGGTAAATTGCTTATAATAAAAAAAAAAGAGGTTAGTAGAAGAAAGAATAATAAGCTTTTAGATGGACCTCCACTCAAGTCGGTAGCAGAATAACTATGCAGACAGCTCAGGATAAACAGAAAGCTTTAGTTTAGCTGGTTCCACAGGAGAGGAGCCTCCCGGTTATTTTAAAAGACAACAGAAACCACCAGTAGACAGGAAGTCTGTGTCTGAACGTCCGTCCTAACCCCTTAATTCCTCCATCACTATATAGAGTGGGGACTATATAGTGGACTTTATATTTAACTGAGTTACCTGACCGTTCGGACAGATAATCACTACTTTTCCCTCCCCGTTGGTCACGTAACTCCTCCTCCCTGCACGGTGCCTGCTACATCTTTGTAATTTGTGGCCGCCACAGCAAATCCCATGATGCTTTGCAAGCAGAGCTCTCACAAAGCAATCTAGGATATATCTGTTTGTCTAGTGACCATAGATTATAATCACTTTTCAATGTGCATTATGGGAAATTTTGAGTGCATGTCTTTTTAATCCATTAGACATTCGAACACTCATAAATGGTTTCAGTGGTTGACATTAGTTGGTTAGGGCGGAACTTCAGACACAGTTTTAAGAGTGACCTTAACAGTGCTTTTAGTGATTAAAATAATAGAGCATATTGACGGACAAAAAGTTTTTCTATCTTAAATGCAAGACTTTTCTTTTTTTTTTTTACAATTCTGGTGCGGTTACTGCTCTAAGTGGTTTGCTCTGTCATTTACAGGCATGTTCTAGAGTCTCTATGCTCCACTTAATCAATTACTAAATTAGTTGATGATTATTTAAATAATTGATTAACCCAATTAATTGTTCCAGCCCTAATTTACTTACTGACCTTATAAACACCATAGATAGTTTGGGTGTCTCTGAGAGAACCCTAAGATGTCATTTACTATATGAAATCTTACTAGAAGCTCTAAATCATTCAGCCCTACTGTGTCTACTATTGCAATAAATTAAGATAATGACAATTTACCATCTGACTATGAGGCATGACTTTCCATTAACCTTCTTAGGATAGAATTTTTTTCAGTCTATAAAACCCAAATGTTAGATTTCTTTTTAATTCTTGCAATTTATTTCTATTTTTTCCCCCTGTTCTGTTGCACGCTAATTATTGCATTCAATTCCTTAGTCTTTAATGCATTCTAGTGCAATATTCCAAACAGTATCTGTAAAACTCCTGTAGGATTTAGGGATATCTATTAAAATAGCAGGAATGCAGCAATTATTAGTGGGCTGACTCAATAAAAGAGCTGCAAAGTACGACTAAAAGCTTGTTAACATTATCCTTCTTAGGATAGATTTTTTTTCGGTTTATAAAATCCAAATGTTAGATTTCTTTTTAATTCTTGCAATTTATTTCTAATTTTTTTTCCCCCTGTTCTGTTGCACGCTTATTATTGCATTCAATTTTTTAGTCTTTAATGCATTCTAGTGCAATATTCCAAACAGTATCTGTAAAATTCCTGTAGCATTTAGGAATATCTGTTAAAATAACAGAGTGTGGCAATTATTAGTAGGCTGACTCAATAAAGCAGCCGCCCAACTATGACTAAAAGCTTGTTCTGCACATTTCAATGTTTTATTCTAAGACACGGCTCAGACAGTGTCAAATCACTGCAGTCTACATGATACATGTATGACCCGACTGAGACGGCAGGCTCCCATCTGTCACCTCCCCTCCTGTAACATGTATGCTCGCAGACAACCAACAAGTGTATGAGCAGTCCATGTGTTCCTGGCACAGGCTGCCTCTGTAGGGCAGCGAAGAGGCTGGAGCCGAGGCGTAACGCACAAAAGAAGCTCTGTGCAGGCCAGAGCCGGCTGCTCCGAGCATTGGCCGTCCTACGGGAAAACGCCCACTACACGACACAGAGGAGTCCCTGAGAACAAAAACAGGCTCTGCGTTGTGGGCACCTTCATCTCCTCTAACACAGACTGGGATCTGTTGGTAGGATCTGTTGGTAGCTTTTCAAGATCACAGCAAGACTCCATGTCATACCCAGCTGCTCTTTTAAACAGACTAGAGGGAAATCTTTTCAAACCATCAGCTAATTATAGTGAGCGGCAACACGAGCCCCAAGAGCCCGGTCCATACATGATGCAGATACAAACCAAACAGCAACAGTTGCTATGGGAGACGCCTATATTTTGGAGGGCTTTCCCCTTTTTTCCCCTTTAAACACCCTCTAAAGTGGAAACAGTGAGTGTAGAACGTAGGATGATCACTCATCCTGCAAATTCTCCTTTCTTACTCCACTCTTACTTTCTACTTCAGAAATGTTTGAATTAACATAAATAAAAATAAACAGACACCTTGAATTGCATCTATTTTTATATTCTAGAAACTTAAAGTCTAAGATCTTGAAAGTATGAAATATGAATAAATGTAAGTCTGCCTTTGCTTTAACTTTCAAAGAGGATAAGTCATTGGGGCTGCCAGTGGCGGTTCTAGACCAAATGTACCAGGGGGGCCATGAGGGGGCCAGCTTGTTTTGATGGGGGCACAGAAAAGCATGAAATAAAAAACAGGGCAAGGGAAAAGCAAATAGATAAAGAGTGATTAAGTTTCATTAAAATTCTAAATGTCTTATTAGGTCAATATACATTCAGGAATTTTATACATTTTTTACTTAATTTAAGTTGAAATTACAGTTTTCTATAAAATCTGAATTAGAATTTAAGAAAACTTAGAGTCAACTGTAAAAATTAGAGTATTTTTTAAATATGTTTTGAAAAAAAAAACATTTAGCAGATGAAAACTGGGATCCTATCTCAATACCACTGAAGCTATTGCGTTATTGTTTTCAAACAGTTAATAAAACAGAATTTGTAAAAAAAAAAAAAAAAAAAAAAAAAAAAAAAAAAAAAAAAAAACGGAAATAGACCCAAAGGACCTATCAGTAACCATGTCTGTTCCAGCACTTATCATCATTAGAATTTGTTTGAGTATTATGTCT